TAATAGCTGTACTGTTATATATAACGCTGCTATAAACATCTGTATACAAATGTTTCTAGGAGGACAGACATTCTCATTTCTGTTGGGTATATATCCAGGAGTGGAAGTGCTAGGTCTTATGGTAAGTATATGCTTAACCTCTTGAGGAACCACCACACTGCTGTCCAAAGCAGCTGTGCCACTTTACATTCCCAACAGCAACATACAGGTGTTCTAATTTCTTCACGTATTTGCCAAGTGTTACTTTTTATTTTTGGCTGTGAGGTTGGGATCTCATTGTGGCTTTGTTTTGCATCTCCCCAGTTATAAATACTAATGACATCAAGCATCTTTATATGTGCTTGTCATTTGTGTATCTTCTATGAAGAAGGATCTACTCAAGTATTTTGTCCATTTTAACACTAGGTTGATTTCCTATGAAGTTTTAAAGAGCTTTCCTAAATTCTGAATACTAAACCCTTATCAGATATATAATTTACAAACATTTTCTCCCAGAAATGTGACCTCTTGTAACTCTGGAAAAACTGTTTGGCTAAACATGTAATATCTGCTAACGCTGAAAATACACACAGCTTATGAATCCAGCAATCCAGGCCGACATTATACACCCAACAGAAAGAACACATTTTCCACAAGACACACTGCAGACTGTTCATGAGGGCACCAGTCATAACAGCAAGAGGAAAACTGAGAAACCACCCAGATATCTGGCAGGAAGCTGAGTACCAGTCCCCGAGGATGCCGCTGTCCTTGTCTCTGGCACCTCTGTGCATTACTTCACTAGGAACTCCACATGTGCAATCAGGATTCTCAGAGGGGGAAGTCAGACTTCCATATTCTGGGAAGTCATCCCTCCATCCCAACAAGTAAAAAAGCTGAACACACTGGGAAAAATAAACAAGTCTTCTTGGATCTGTCAGAGAAGCGAGGTGACAGGGCCAACTGCAGCCCCCAAACTGGAGAGACAGGTGGGTGGACACGGAGAATCACAACCTACTGAAGCAGAGACTTCCAGGCAGAAACCTCTGGAACAACACTGGGGTGAGGGGGCCTGAACTGTAACTAACACATTGCTGGAGCTCAGCATGGACGAGTCTATGAATTAAACACTATGGGGATCATGAGGGGATCCCCACAGTTTTGTGAGTTTTACCTCCAGGAGCTCTACAAGAGTCTCAGAGGGAAATTCAGAGAAAAATCCCCTGGTGATTCTGGCAGGGGAAGGAAGAAAGTAACCATTTGAGATGTCAGAGTCTTCTGTTCTTAACAAGGCTTGCCCTCAGCAGAAATTATTTTATCAGAGACTGAACATACTGGTAGGGAAATCCCCAATACCAGCTCCCCCTAGAGAAGCACTCGTGAAGTTCAGAGCCCAGGGACACGGGCTTAACTGAGAACTGATCACACCTCCCCAAGCCCTCGCCATCAATCACAGCACTAAAAGGTCTATTCACTGGAGCTCCTGCTATCCAGTACACCATGTTCAGCTGTCAACAGAAAATTACAAGGCAGAGTAAAAGCTCCCCTACCCCCCCAAAAAACCCCCATCACAGCCTGAAGAGACACAGTAAGCATCGGAATCACATTCAGACTCGGCAGAAATGTTAGAACTATTAGACCACGAACTTAAAACAGCTGTGATTAATACGTTGAGGCCTTTAACAGTAAAAGTAGACAACACACCAAAACAAATGGGTAATATAAGTAGAGAGATGGAAATTCTAAGAAATAACCTTTTTAAAAAACACATAAAACTGTAACAGAAATGATGAATGCTTTCCACGGGCTCACCAGTCGACTGGACTTGGCTGAGGAAGAATCTCTGAGCTGAATGATAGGTTAACAGAAACTTCAAAAACTAAAAAGCAGAGAGAAAAAAAGCCTGGAGGTGGGGTGGGAAAAAAAGAGGAAACAGAATACCCCAAAACTATGGGACAACTACAAACAATGTAATATATGCATGGGAACGCTGAGATACGAGAGAAAAGGACGGAAAAAATACTTGAAGCAATAGTGACTGAGAATTTCCCCCAAGTTAATATTATTGAGAATTTCCCCCCAATTAATGTCAGATACTAAACCACAGACCCAGGAAGTTCAGAGAGTACTAAAGATAACCACTCCTCCACCCCCACCCCTAGGCACCCAGGCATAGCATATTCAAAGCTGCATAAAATCAAAGATTTTTAAAATCTTAGAAGAAGTCAAAGGGAAAACACCACCTATGGAGGACCCAAGGCAGTAACATTCAATTCCTCTTCAGCAACCACGCAGACAAGGAGAGAGAAGCGCTGGGGGAGCTCACAGCGGATTACTCACGTGGGCCACACTTAATCCCATGGATCCTGATATGTAGAAGCAGCAGGGTCAAAGTGAGCAGCAGTGTGCTGGAAGCAGAGACTAGAAGATGCAATGCTGTTGCCTTTGAAGACGGACAGAGGACCAGGAACCAAGGAATTCAGGCAGCCTCTAGAAGCTGGAAAGGAAGGAAAGACGCTCCCTGGATCCTCCACAAGAAACCAGACCTGCGGACACTTTAACGTAGCACAGCTGATTTGGGGCTTCTGACCTCCAGAATGGCATGATAACACATTTGAATTAAACCAGCAAATTCTGTCAGCGTGTTACAGCAGCAGTAGGAAACTAAGATACCCCTGTCAACAGCACACTAGAGAAATCACAGTGCTTTTGCACAAGAAATAGTGTGATGCAATGAGAATCAGTAACTATTGCTGCAGGCAACAAAATGGAGGCAGCCCAGAAAATGGAAAGAAGCCTGACGCAAAGAAATATAAATGCTAAGATTCCATTTATATACAGCTTAAATATAAGTAAAACATCTATGGCTTTGGAGAAAGGGGCAGGAGTTACTTGGTGGGTGGGAGGGCTGATGAGGGGGCACACGGGAAATACCAGCAACGTTGTCCTTCTCCATGCTGGTGCTGGTTATATGTGATCACTTTGTGGTATTTCAAACCACACACCTGTAAGTTGTCTACTTTTCTGTACTGTATACGTCAATTTAAAAGGGCTAAAACAAAATTAAGTAATTTAAAAACAGATTTCCTTGCAAAAATTGGGACCAAAAAAGGTTTAAAGTCTAACCACACTAAACAAAAGCTCTTCAATTAGTTAAAACTAAACCTCATATAAAGTGAACAGTAATAATTAATTCAGGTAACAAAGCAATTTTGAGGGTTTTCTAGTACACAGAAAAAAACAAAACAAAACAGCATGAGTTGGTCTAGACATGCAAAAGCAGCAGACATACCACAGTATACCCTGAAGCACAGCCTACAATTCTCTTCACCGGTTTCTTACTTCAAGTATAACTAGTTTAGAAAAACTGGTCTTTACACCACCAGAATTGCAGAATCGTTAAGATTTTATCAGTGGCATTTTCCCCCTCATATTTTATCAAACAAAATGTTTTTGCAAATTAATTTTTCCAGGCCCACAAACATCCTAGGTTTTTCCCACACTGAAACAAATTATAACCCTCTCGTATATTTTAGTATTTACATTCAACCATTAGGAGCCAAATACTAAACAGATTTTTAAAGTCATAATGAAAGAATTACGTTTGAAAGTAGAGGTATTGTCCTCAAATATTTTGTGGGAAAAAAAATCTTTGGAATATATATTATAAAGTTATAACAAAGACCAATGTAAGTAGTAGTAACCGTTTTCCCTCAATTATCTGAAATTAAGCAATAGGTCAAATGTACATAAGTTCTTTAGGTGAACGTCAGTACGAAAATCTAACTGTTCTTACAAATGTTTCAAAACAAGCACTGAAAACTGAATATCAAAACGGTGAAACAACTACCAGGTAATCTGACCTGAAAGAGTAGCTATGTGAATTTGCCGAACTTTTAAAACAGTTTCTGCCCATTAAATAATGATAAAAGAGGCTTTATTTTTTCCTACTAGGAATGCTGACATTAGATTTGATAATTCAAGACATGCTGATAGGGAAGATGTAATGATCAAGGTAAATTCCTGATTTAAGGATACTTACAAGGTAGTAATCTCATGTACTTACTTGTCTCTTAGAAGAGTAGAAAGCTTAATAATCCTGTGAAGTTGAATACTTAAAATACTGACAAATCTTATTCATTATATGATATAGATTTACATATAAGAGAATGCAACAAGTTATCTGAACCTGAATGCAGAGAATAAATACTTTATTAACTGATTACAGTTGAAAGTCACAAACAAAAAAGGGGTATATTAAGGCAGAGTCATATATATATATATATATATGTAGGTAAATATATATATATATAGACAAATCCAAAGACTGTTACCTCTTTACATTTGAACAACCTCTGCATTTTTCTTGTACACATTTAGGCAGTGTGCTTTCTTTTTCTTCTCAGTTAAAGAAACAAATCTTGACCAATGTTTCTAAATTATATTTTGATAACTTATAGGACCATGGATTAAGACAGTGACTAGTGTATCCAATGCTACCTGATAGTTTTCTCAGCATATTCCATGTGTGGTGGTATAGTTACGGTGGTGTGGAAAATCTGACAACTGATCATCTCCTCTTTTCCAGCAAAACTAACACATAACTTTTTAAAAGATTTCTTAACAGTCTTAACTAAAATAAGCTTGGACTTCCAAGTCAGTCAAATGCCCAAAGCATATTCTTTTTCTGCTCTTCCCAAACCCTCCTAGACATTTTAAGTAGCCTTTAGAATATGATCCCATGGCTGTATTTCAGATCTATAAATTTGAGTTTTTCAAAATCCAAAATTACTTTCTTACGCAAAGTGGCGATGCAAATAGCAATCCTACATAGTGTAGAATAACTTTTTCTGTATAGTTCCCTTTTATTAAAAAATGGGCAACCACACACACCAAAAAAGGACATAAATTTAGTCCATCTGAAAAAGCACTCCAGCTCCCTAATTCCACTTTTGAAGGAGAAGGCAGAGGCAAGTTTACATTATCCCAGATAACTGAATAAATGGCTTTATTTGGTATCTTCAAGAAGCTTCTCCTTCTGTAGGAGATGTAGGTGTTGTAGTGGAAACTGTAACTGGTTTTCGTGCAATTCTGTCCAGTTCCGCATGAACATCTGACAGGACAGGCTTCTGGCCTACATTGAAGGAAAAGAAACTAAGATTTAGACATAAGGCAAAATATCTTTTACACCAACGCATCTTCGTTTAACAACTGCCAATGGTTTCATTAACTTTATCTCACACACATATAAAAAACATATATAAACATATCTTTATCTAAAACACATGTATCTAAAACTTTACCTATTTTATATATATATATATATATATATATATATATATATATAAACATCCTAATTTAAAAACAAATTCCCTCATTTTCTTTTTTTTTAAATTTTTTATTTGGGGGGGGGGGTCACATGGCATGTGGGATCTTAGTTCCCTGACCAGGGATCAAACTCACACCCCCTGCAGTGGAAGCACAGAGTCTAAACCACTGGACTGCCAGGAATGTCCTTACAGTCCCTCATGTTAAATTGTAGGGTCTGTTACTAAACAGAAGTAAAACTAGCACCTACCATTTCATCTCATAAAGGTTTTTTTGTTTGTTTGTTTTAAATAAGAAGGCACAGAACAAACACAGAAAATAGCTAGAAAATAGCCAATAAAATTTTGTAATCTGGAAAGATGAGTGAGTGGTAATTAAGTCAGCAGTCCTGAGACAGGTAATCTTTTCTACACTGAGGGTGACAGAAGCCAGAAAGTAATTCAATTTATACTCAGAAATCTGTAAGATTAAAAATGGTAGCAGCAGGTACTTGAGAAAAGGGTGGCAAGAAGGTGTGATTAAAAAAGGAGAATAGGTGAAAGTCTGAAGAGCACTTATACAAACAACAAAAGGAAAAACCATTTCATCAAAATTAAAAAATTCTGTGTTTCACAGGACACTCTTACCAAAGTGAAGGGACAACCAACACAAGAATACTTGTAAATTCTATGTCTGTTATATAGGGGAGACAATACTTGTAAATTCTACATTTGAAAAATGTCCAGCAAACAGAAAATATAAAAAACACTTGGAACTCAATAATAAAAACAACCCCATTTTAAATGGGCAAAGAATCTGAATAGACATTTCACCAAAGATTAGATAAAAATGGCTATTAAACACGTAAAAAGATTTTCAAAATCATTAGCTATCAGGGAAATTCAAATCAAAACCACAATGAGATACAACTTCACAGCTGAAATGATGTCTCTCACCAAGAAGATGGACAAGTGGTGACCATTTTGTAATGTATAAAAATATCCAACCAGGGACCGCCCTGCAGTCCAGCGGTTAGGACTCTGAGCTTCCACTGCACAGGGCACGGGTTCCAGCCCTTGTTGAGGAACTGAGATCCCACATGCTGTGCGGTGTGGCCAAAACAAAAAAATCAAATCACTAGGTTGTATACTTGAAATATACTATCGTTCATCAATTATATTTCACTCTAAAACACAGACACACATGCAAAAATACTCCAACAAAGAGACATTCTGGACTTGGTTAAGCAAAACCAAAAGAAAAAACAACAAAAACCCACAAAGATGAATAATAACACCTGTTGGAAAGCATGTGGAGAAACTGAGGTCCTCATAAACTGCTGGTGGGAATGTAAAGTGGTGCGGCATTTTGGAAACTTTAAACACAGGGGTACTACATGACCCACCAGTCCCAATCCTACACACATACCCAAGAGAAATGAAAACATGTGCGTGTCAACTGATGAATGGATAAATAAAAGATGTACGCAGACCCACACAATGGGATTTTTTTCAACAGTAAAAAAATACTGATATATATGCTACAACATGGATGAAACTCAAAAACATTACTTTAAATAGGCATATACTGTATGACTACCATTTATATGAAATCTTCAGATAGGCAAATACACAGAGAAAGAAAGCAAATCACTGCCTAGGAGGAGTGTAGGGGAGGGAAGGGTAACTGCTAATAGCTAGGATTTTTTTTTAGGTTTTTTAAAAAAATTTTTACTATGCTGTGTGGTGTCTGAGATACAACAACTCAAATCATCCATAATTATACACACATTCCCCTCCCTCCCTTACCTCCCTCTTCCCCCCCACCCCATCCTTCCAGGCCATCCCAGAGCACCAGACTGGGCTCCCTGGGCTCCACAGCAACTTCTCCCCAGCTATCCATCCTACCTGAGGGCGTCTACATCCTGAGGCTACTTCCTCCATCTGCCCCACTCTCCCCCCAGCTGTGCACACAAGCCCATGCGCTACGTCTGCATCTCTGTTCCTTCCCTGCATGTAGCTTCCTCAGTGTCACTTTAGTCTAGATTCCATATATATGTGCTAATACAGTGTATTGGTTTTCTCTGACATACTTCACTCTGTATTATTAGGCTCTAGGTTCAACCATCTCACTAGAACTGTCTCAAATTCCTTCTTTTTGATATGGATGTCTTTAAGGGGATGAAAATGTTCTAAGGTTAGATTATGGTAATGTTTTGCATGGTTTCCCTGGTGGCTCAGCAGTGAAGAAGAATATGCCTGCCCATGCAGGAGGAATGGGTTCGATCCCTGGGTTGGGAAGATCCCCTGGAGAAGGGAATGGCAACCCACTCTAGTATTCTTGCCTGGAGAATCCCATGGACAGAAGCCTGGCAGGCTACAGTCCATGGGTATCAAAGAATCACGCATGACTGAGCAACTAAACAACAACAAAATGGTCTGTGTAAGTCTGTAAATACACTAAAACACTGAAATGCACACTTTCAATGCACAATACAGCTGGTAAGAAAGGAAAGCTCCAGTAAGCACCTGACTTCTTGGCAGATGGTGGTAAGCCGCCGCCTCCGCCTGCAGCCCCACCTCCAGGGCTACCAGCGCCCACACCAGGGCCTCCTGGGGAGCCAGTCTTCTTACTCAGCAAGCTGTTAAAGAAATTTGCCAGGACACCTTCACTTGTAGCTCCAGCTATCAAAAAAAAGGATAAAAAACGTTCTCAAAGCATTCAGCTTTTCTGTAAATTATTACAGTAATGATACACAGAAAATGAATCACACACAGAAAATGTTCCAAATCCAAGCCAGGTTTTATCTTTTGAGGCGAGGTAACTTCTCTAATCTACTCATATATAAAACAAAATATGAGTAACTGTTAAGAATGTAAAGTAATTATTAAAAACTTAGAGTGTTATTTTTTCTTTACATTTTATTGCTTTTTTGCTGTGCTGGGTTCATTGCTGAACGAGGTTACAGTGTTATTTTTAAAAGGCCAAAAGCATTTAAAACAGATGCTACTTGTGAATATATATCCCTTTTGAAAGGGGTTCTTCAAAAATAAAATAGTTGTTTCAAGTATTACACAAAGCTGTCCAATCTGATATGAAAACCAGTAGAAGCCCTAAGAGATTAATGGACAAAGGAGGGCAATAAACAATTCACAGAAGAAAAATACAAACAGGAAGGAAATACTAGGGGCGGTGGGAGCTCTTATTAGTTAATATTTAGAGAATGCTGATTAGGTTTAGGCAAATTGCAAGGCTGCATGTGGATGACAGGTAACCTGAACAACTGAAAAACATCAGGAGAGGGCATAAAAAGATAATAAGTCTCACTACTAATCCCACGTAGGGCAATTGTTCCTACAGAAATAACTATAATGCACAGTTTTTTTTCTGCTTGTTAACTGCAAATAACCCATTTCAGGTAAAACATGAATTCCTCCAATGACCTACACCTATAGGAGCGTGATTAAATATAACACAAAGCTTTTATAAAGTGCATACCACAGAGTGTATGTTAACACTACACTGTAAAATGGTTCTGTCTGATTCACTGAGTTCCTATCTCTATAGATTCACAAAGACAAGACACTAATGCATAAAAAAGAAAACAGCTAAGGCAAGAGGTGGGATGACACTGGGCAGATTTCTGTTGTGAAATACATTGGGCTGTTTACTCTTAAAAAGAGAGAAATGTACCTTTCATGTTCGGATCGATTTTTTTTGACCCAGCAGGGATGGGTGACACGCTGGCAACATTTGACGACACAGATCTGTTTGGTGTGCGAGGGGAGCCTCCTGGGACTCTTGGGGAGGCATCCTAAGTAAAAAGGGGAAAGCCGCATTTATAAAGCCCTGAAAGCTCCACTTCACAGAAGCCACCATATGAACACTCCTTTACAACTGCCCCCACCTCTTCTGCTGGTCCCTTCATGCTGCAAGCCCTGGGCAGAAGTGTTCAGCAACTGTGTCCTCGTTATTAGAACACCAGGGACCCTCACACTTTAGCATACTAATTTTCCCTTGAAGTGTGGTTATAAACAGAAGCGTGGGAGTCAGATCCAGACTCCAATCTGGACTTGCATCCTATCCCACCAACGTATAATCTCAGGCAAGCCATGATGTCCTAAAAAGCCTCCATTTCCCTACCTGCAAAATGGGGATAAGGCTAGGACTTGCCTCATCCAGCTGTTTTGAGAATTTATAAAATAACATACAAAAATGGTTCAGCCTACTAATGGGTACAGGACAAATGGTACAAAATAGATCTTTGTGATTTCAATATTCTAAAAGGGAGTGAAAATTTATCTTTTAAAATCTCAAAAATTCCAGGGGAATTTTTAATTCAACTTTATATCCAAGTACACCCATAAGAGACAGATATACAATTAAAGAAATAAAAGAACTAAAACAATATGCACTGCATTTTAACCATTTAGTCAAGATCTGTAATACTGACCACAGGCCTTCCAGCTGCAGTTGGTGGTTGCTTTGCTAAAAGGGACTGAAAAACACACAAAAATTCTAGATTAGACATTCAGTCATGTATTGCTGTTTTTAAAGAAAATGTGTATAAGAACCATTAACCATTTACCATTAACCATAACCATTAACCATTAACCATACTAAGTCTGCTACTGATGTAATTTCATACCTGTAGCTTCATGAGAAACACTTGGTCATCTTCTGCCACAATTTCCTTCTCATGCACAAACTGAAATGAGCAATGCATAAATGAACAAGTCATTATGCTACAGTCATTCATAACTCACTCTCTAGATTCCTTTTTTAAAAACACCGAGAATATGAATATTACCTGTATCACATATACATGGGTGGACTGCCCTCCCCAGGGCCCTTCACAGAGCTGTCCAATGTCGATCTGCACTAATGTAAATGTCCCGTATCTGTGCTGTCCAACATGTTAGCCTGTGGCTACTGAGGAGCTACAATAATGGCTAATGTGACTAAGGAACTGAATTTTTCATTTAGTTGTACTTACTTTATACTTAAGAGCCATATGTAACTAGTTGCTACTGCACTGGACGGCACAATCCAAGAGCCACACGCATATCAGTCATGCTTATAAAATCTGCGTAATTCAATGGTAAATAATCCTCCTACAGTGCAGGAGACGCAGGTTAAATCCCTGGGTCAGGAAGACCCTTGGACAATGGAATGGCAACCCACTCCAGTATTCTTGCCTGGAGAGCCTCATGGACAGAGGAGTCTGGTGAGCTACAGTCCATGGGGTTGCAAAAGAGTCAGACAAAACTTGGCGACTGAACAACAACAACAGAAACAACAGTTAGGTGTTTTAAAAGGGCCAATAATATCCCAGTTAGGAGAAGAGCAACTTGCTCCTGGTTTCCTAAAATAAAAATATAATGTCTCTTCTATCTGCTGAATAATTAGAATTAAAAAAAAAGGAGCTGCCAATGTCTCCTGCTCCTCCTATTTCTGTACAAGGCAGGCCATCGTCTTATTTTCTGCCCAGGAGCCAGGGCGATCCTTTGGAAAGGTTAAGGCAGACTGTATCACACCTCCACTCCAACTTGCCTGCCCATCACTTTCCATCCCACTGAGCATGAAATCCAGAGTCCTGCCTGCAGCCTAATGATGGGGCCCCGCACGATCCTAACTCTGCCTCTCTTTCCTACTGCTCTGGCCCTCCCGGGGGCTCTTTTCCAGCCTCTCCAGCTGCTTTACACACTCCTGCCTCAGGGCACGTGCACCTTCTCTTCCCTGTGCCTTCATATTCTCCCCTCTCATCAGAGACCTGCCTTTACCATCCCCAGGACTATAACCTCCCACCCCACCCGCTCACCACCCCCTCACTTGGCTTCCTTTCTAAAGCACAGATCACCACGTGGGTGATGGCATTTACACTGATTCACTGCCTCATCATGGTCCTAAATGGCAGCTCAATAAGTATATTTGGAATGAATGAAAAACAATTTGAAGCACAATTTCGCTGCTAAGAGAGAGAATGGGAAAAAAGTTGTTTTTAAAGTGCGCACTTCTTTCAACAGACACCCAAACCGAATAAAGCACCAACTGAGTTTTCGTTTGATGCTACATTTCTTATTTCTAACTGCTCTGTAAACGTTGGATTTTTAATTAAGAACCTTATTATATGCTCAATCAACATTACTTTTTCTTGAGGCGCGTTCAAATTAAAAGTCAGTGAGAACTTACTAAATGCGAACACTCATCTTTACACAGCTTTTCAGAAGCATCTATACTATCTAACCATAAAACACCATTCTTAGTGAAATCAAGACATATGAAAGAAGAGTATCAGATTTAAAAATTTTAAGAATGACATGCCACAATACAGAATAAAATGGGAACCTGGCAGCCCCTGGATCTGCTGTGGACTAGTAGGAACAATAACCATGAAGAAGATGCAAGATCTGTCTCAAGAGACAAAAGCTAACGTAGTTATTCTACCAAGGTGTTCTTGGCTTTTGATTGAGCCCCAGGTTGTAAAGTTCATGACTTGATAGAAATGAAACCCCTTATCTTTCTACCTACAATCTCAAAATTATGGACTGCTCCCTCAGTTTAAAAGACTATTAAGACTATACAGTAAAATTTACCTTTCGGACAGGTGGTTTAGTTATGATGTCTTCAAAATTATCTTCTGCTTTTAACGTTTGAAAGTTTTCATGTAATATTCCTATTTTCTTATCATTATCCCACCCTGCTGGACTAGAAAGAAATGCAGATGATAAATTCTCAACCATTTATACAGTCATTCTCTCATTCAATCCTTGATCAGGTTAAGGTAAACATTTTTTATGAAGTTAAATTTGACCAATTATGGGAAATTAATCTATTACAATACTCAAGTTAAAATTTACTAATTTCTACTTAAACTTATCAATTTTCCTGATTTTAGAACTGACATTACAGGTTTTTTATTTGAGAGGAAGTAATCATTAGTGTTACCTCCCAAGTTATTCAGATAGCTTTCCAAAGCATATCTAGGTTATTCACTGGGCCCTTTATGCACCATAACCAATTAAAGAATAAACACACTGGCTGAAACATGCACCCAATAGATAGGTTAGCTCTAATAGCTGCCTTTCAAAAAGGCTCAGGCCAGCAGCAAATCTAAAAGGCAATGATAACAGATCAAAGCATGTTATAAATAAAATAATCGAGGAACAGATTCTCACCAATTCATCATGGCGAAGTTTACTGGTCTCACTTCAAGACCGAAAATGATGATATAGCATCAAACTGCAGCAATAGTACATGATAGAACAATATACTCAGGAGTACAGTGTAGGATTTTCCTGGTGGTCCAGTGGTTAAGACTGTGCACTTCCAATGCAGGGGGCAAGGGTTCAACCCTTGGTAAGGGAAGTAAGATCCCATGTGCTGCATGGCACAGCCAAAAAAATTAAAAAAAAAAAAGCATACTTACATAAATACTGCATCTTTTTCCACAACAACAGCAGGAATCTTATAAGGAAATCCATAGAGTTTCTGGACGATGTATTTATATACTAAATCTATATTTTTATTTTCTTTTACTGAAGTGTAAATAAGTGCTGCACCATCTGAATAATACCGTTAAAGAAATTTTTGGACAAACTCCATGAAAAGGTACTGTAAAATTCTGTGTTCTCAGCTTAACATTTATGCATAATAGTTTCAAAAATAATTTCCACAGATATAATTACATGGTAATCAAGAATATCAAACCCATAAAGTATTTCACACAGGTTAAATTCAAATAAAACAATCTCTACATAACTGATTTAACTCAGGAGGGCAAAAGCCTCATTAGCCAAGAAAGTAAACCTAATTAACTGAGTCCACTACTACCTCTGTATTTACAGCGCATGAAGAGAAGCTTTGTTTTTGCTTTTTACCTTCCTAAACTTCATGAAGGAGGGATATTATTTATCAGAACAACAGTCTTGCCTTTTCAACAAAGGTAACAGGCACTAGCATCTCTTATAGTTTTCACTAGTCCCAGGAATGAGGACTCCGGGAGAAAGCTCAGGAAAGCCGCTGACAGAGAAGATGAACCATCAGGGAGCTCTCAGGAACAACCCACGGCAACTGTGACCGAAATGCGATGTGACACAGGCCTACATGAAGACGCAGCAATCAACGCAGATTCTAACTCTGACCTTTCTCCAGAGGGCGTGGTGGACCAAAAGATCGAGAGAGGCCTGTAGAAAAAGGGGCCAAATGACTGCTGACAGACGACGTGGCAGGAGTGGCTACAGAAATTCTGACCACTGCTTAGGGTGATCTGCCAGCACTTGACCCTAGGTCCCCAGAGAAACAGTGACTCAGGCCAAGAGGAAATGATGAGACTGGTCTAACCTCTGAACTGCGATATTCATACTTACTAGGACACGAACCAAAGCTTGAGAACCTTGAAGCAGTATTGCTAAATAGACTTAACTTGTCATAATACTTAATTTGGTAGACACAAACTTCTTAATCTTAAGTAAAAGCTTAGCTGTGTGAACTTGTCAACAATCTTTCTCACAATGAGAACCAATTTATGATAATCTGGAAGTTTTGTACAGCTGGAAAATTTGCATCATAATGAAAACTTCTTTAATTTTAAAGGAAACATGACTCGGAATTGTGGGCCTCATTTCCTGGTGGCTAAGACAGCAAAGCCTCTGCCTGCAGTGCAGGAGACCCGGGTTCAATCCCTGGGTCGGGAAGATCCCTGGAGAGGCAAATGGCAACCCACTCCAGTATCACCGCCTGGAAAACCCCATGGACGGAGGAGCCTGGCAGGTCATAGTCCTTGGGGTCGCAAAGAGTCAGACACGACTAAACAACTTACTGTTCACTTCACTTCACTCACTGACACACCCACACACAACTCTCTCTCCTGAAGTGATTTGTTTTGTATTCTTTTAAAATCAACCAGCTTTACTACAGGTCTGTAATTATTTTAGTGGACAGTGTTCTTCCTAATTACATCTCTCTATATACATTTTCAAGTGTAGTTTTAAATAACCATTTAAAGAGACTGCTTGTTCTCAAATTTTCTAACCTGCAAAGATAACAAAAAAAGGCCATAAACACCTAACTGCAATTACTCCCACTTTTTGTTTTCTTTAGCAGACGAATGCCCTTTAATTCATCCCAACTAACCATCATTTGACATGAGAATGCACATGATGCATGAAGCGCTGAAGGAAAAGCGGAAAGGGAGACTCCCAGCATCAAGGGTCTCATTCGTCACTCAGCCAGGCTTTCCCCACGTGGCCTTTAAAGTCAACGTCCACTGACCGCGATGAAAGCCTTCGGATGCTCTAACCACATGTCCGTCACTTACTCTTCCTATCCACTCCTAACACCTATCGCTCAGTCACTTTTCAGACCCACAAGCTTTGGTTCAGGAATGCAACTGCAAAACATCTGATCCAGGAGGGGCGAGTGAGCACACTTCTTCAGTGCTCTCAAGCCATTTGAAGTTTTCAACAGGAAATTCTAAAAGCATTCACTCACTGACTCATTTTATCCTTTGCTTAGCTATAAATGTTATTCACTAGCTCATCTAATCCTTGCAACCTAGATTACAAAAGATTCCTATCATTGGTTTTCTAACCTTGTGATCAAAATTACCCAGAAAGCTTTTTCAGAATTTAACATAGATTTCTCCAGCCTTCCTTTTGAATGTTTCAATTCAGTTAAGTATTAGATGGGCACAGCCAGATTTAAAAACCATTTAAAACCATTGCATCAATGAGACAAGTGCTCGGACCTGGTGCACTGGGAAGACCCAGAGGGATCGGGCGGAGAGGGAGGTGGGAGGGGGGATGGGGATGGGGAATACATGTAAAACCATGGCTGATTCTTGTCGATGTATGACAAAAAACACTACAATATTGTAAAGTAATTAGCCTCCAACTAAAAAAAAAAAAAAAAACCCATTGCATCAGACTATGCAATGGAGATGAATGTATACTCTGGAGATGATTAACATACTGAACATATTAAAAATAAGAACACAGAAACCCAAACACTGATCTTGACCTACCACCCACCCCCAAGTAATGAACACCAGTTTTAAATGAGAACATTTACAATGCTAACTTGTTAGAATTTTCTGCATAAGTCTGAGAATTATTTTTCTTAATCACAGGACTTTAAACACATCAAATCAAAGTTACATATTTCAGTACTTGCTTTTGTATCTCAAAATACCAAGATATAAATGACTTGGAATTAAAATGAAATTTCTGACCAGAGGTAGGAAGATAAAAAACTTTACGGAATTTCTAAGTTCATCAATTTACTCCTCTACTTAAATAAACAAACAGCTTAGAAATATTGCACCAACCAATGTATTAAAAGGATACACTGTAAACAAAACTTCCGGATATGTGACTGAATAAAATCAAAATGCTCATCTCTGTAGTCATGTTCTTTCTCCAACACACTAATGGCATCACACTAATGAGTTAAAATTATTTTAAAAAGAACAATATTAACTTTAAATAATAATATAATGATTTAAATTAAATTTTGGGTGGGAGAACATCACAAAACTACAACTCTGATATGGTGACTGATCGGTAGGACCTAGGAGTATCAATTACTCCTATCTGTCTAGAGACGTTCAGTCAGTCTTGAGACTATTGAATGCTTTTATTACTTAAAGAAGTACTGACTTCTATGATACACTGATCTCTTTGGTGATGAGAACACCAAAGAGAAAGTTTTGGTACATCAAGGAAGAACAACACGACAAGCTTATAAAAGGCGGTTATACTTGTTAACTCAATGACTTACATCCTAGAACAACTTCTCTAAAGCACTGTGTATCCAGGGAGTCTGTACCGCATATCATCTCCCCTTTGTTCCTCTGATTATCTAAACTGACCTTCATTACTTTTCTGGTGCTTTTATTTACTCTCACTTCAGTTTTACCAACAGCAGAAGAGGGGAATTACAGGGTACTTCTGAAATGTGACCAGTACAATCAATGGAGCAACTCTGATTTCTACTTGCAACAAAGAAATGTTAGGGAAAAAATTAAAGCGTGTTCCAAACATCATGACATCCAAGTAACGTCACCAAAACTTCTGAATTGGAAGCTTATGAAATCTAAAAATAAACAGGGTCCAATCTGTCATTTCTTGTCATGCATATACATATCATAGAACTGTTTCCTTTATAAACAGCATATAAGATGTGGCATATTTGTCCATTCTATAGAACTGAGAGCATTTCAAATTATTAAAGATACATATAATTACTATAATGACAGTTGGCAAAGCATGATAGTTTACTAAAGATATTTTTAACTGAACTATGAGGATGTGGCAAGCAGTAGTCTGAATCTCAATTTCCAGGGTCTCTAAAATGAGTTGTGTAACCCATCTAATCTGAGACACACATTCTCCCAAACCCACACATTTTAAAAGCTCTTAAACTCAAGTAGAACTGATGGTGCCTTAGATTCTATGAAATACTATAAATGATCTCTTCTGGCTTGAAAATTTTATGAATTTATGACTCATCTGATACTGATTCAGGTCCCTTTTAAATTTAACATTTCTTTCATTAAAAAATAAGAGCTTTTATGAGGCAATCTGCAGTGTAAAAACAGGAAAATATCTGCCAATAAGCAGCTGTTTGACAAACAAAATCAAAACAAACCACACACAAAAGGATTCTATTGGCAGAGCTTAAGCACAGATTTATAGAAAAGGTACAAGTAACACTTCTAACTACACCAGAATCACCATTTGAAAAGCAGGCAAAAATTTTGGCTTAATTATTTTAAATCGTACTCCCACTCCTTTGTTATTGATAATTTCTGCTGTTTAAAGTAAAACTTAAACTATATTTTAAAATTTATCATTTTTATTCCAAAGATGAATTCCATACCCTCTTTCAATTATATGCACAAATTTCACATTACTTTTTGATTATAGATAGCAAAAATATTTACATGTTCTGTCATTTTCTTAACTAGTCCGTGGCTTACTAAAGACACACTACTTAAGATCAAATAGGGAGAAGATGAAGTATAAATTATTTTTTAAAGGAAATCTGATTTTATTATAAAGTGTATATATACAGTGACAGAATGAAATTAACAGAATTTTTATAATAGCAACCCTACCAGAATCTCGTTAATAAAAGGCTTTTGATAGATGCATATCAACTTTACATAATGAGCACTGATAGGGCTTTAAAATCAAGTCCATTTTACATAATCTCCTAATATATCAAGATATCAGCATATATAACTCAATGCAGGAAAATATTTTACAAACTTGATAATCATCATCTTACCTGTAATTCTTTCTACTAAACTGACTGTACAATTTGAAGTCTAATCAGAATTAGGAAAATGAAATTTGATCACAATAGAACATCTGAAGTAACACTTTCTTTCAAAAAAAACTACGATTTAGATCACAAAGCGAACATGTGAACAGCATTCAATATTTTAAACTATTACTATACTTCTAGTTTGGAAATTACCTAGAGAAACTAATGCGTCAACTCCACAAGGAGCCTAGAAAGTGAACAGCTGTCCGTTCCAGGCTAACGTCAGCAGCAGAACCCACAGGACGCAGACTAACCTTTGTGCAAACTGCTAGCACTGGAACGCCCAGGTTCTGGGTCAGCGTGTCCGCACCCAGAGGCAGCAGCACGCTGTCATCTTTGTCTTCCTGGGACGTGGTATTTCTTCTCTGAGGGGAAGCTGGGAAATCTTCTCCTGGTTCTACATATTCTTGAAAATCTCTAACCACTGAAAATCAAAGTAAGGTAATTTAATACACTGTTTAGAAACAGCTTTTCATTTCAGTAGGTAGCTTTTCCGCCATAATCTAGACACATATTTTTTACTAGAGTTCGTACTTGGTCTTGTAAAAAACAAAAAGGGTTTGAGAAATCTGTTTCAAAGACAGTACACAAATACTGGACACTGGACCCACATTAATTATCAGGAGGCAGAATAAACATTGAGTGGCTCCAAAGAGTGGGGTTCAATGCAGGCCTGGTTCATCTGTGCAAATTACTGTGGGCAAGTCACAACTGAGCTTTGTCCCTCTTCCTCTCTTAATTCACAAAGGGCACTGGACAGGATAAAAGAAAAGATAAATGTGTTGGCAGGGGGTCCACAATTTAAAAGATGGTTCCAGATGACTTTCTAATATTAACTTCTTCTCTCTAAACGTTTTATTCAGGTCTTTTTATCGAGGTGCAATCTTGAGCCATATTTATTCTATCACTCCCATAGAACTAATAAGGTATTACTGAAACTAATAAATTTTTAGAACTCATCTGCAAACCTATCAAAACCTTCACTTAAAAAAAGCTACTGTGGATATACCAAGGGCCTTAACAAAGTATACTTTGATTTAGTAATTCCTCTTCAAGGAATTCTTAAGGAACCAATGATAGATACACACAGGGATTTCCACATGACTGATTTTCATGTTTAAAGGCACAGGATAAGAAGTGTACGGGGGAATATCAGGATCACAGAGGAGGAAACTCTCCCACACTGACACGAGGTCAGGAAGGGGGCCTCCTGAGCAGTGGCCATGGCTCCTCAGGACACAGGGGCGCGTGTGCACCTCTGTGCATGCGTGCGCAGTCGCTGCAGTCAGGTCCAACTGTGCAGCCCCGTGGACTGCAGCCTGACAGGTTCCTCCACCCATGCGGGTTCTCCAAGGCAAGAGCACTGGAGTGGGCCACCATGCCCTCCTCCGGGGGATCCTCGCCACCCAAGGATCGAACCCGGGGCGTCTCCTGCATCTTCTGCATCACAGGTTAATTCTTTACCACTGAGCTAACCGGGAAGCCCATGCACACCTTTACATGCCCTTCAAATGAGAGGCTGAAACCTCACTGTGGTTCTCAAGTTTGAACACGCACCAGAAGCTTCTCACACAGCAGTCTACGGCAGGGCCTGAGAGTATATATTTCTAACAAACTCCCAGCTGTGCCGTTACTGGTCGTGGGACCACAGACTGAGAACCACCTTACGGCAGAAACTTAGAGAGGTAGGAAAAAGCCCCATAGGCAATGGCCAACAAGAAAAGAAAGATACAGATTAAAAGCAGTGAGATATCTTTTTCAATGGTTTAGGGTATACTTCTCAAGTTTTTACTGTTTCCATGCATATAAATTCCAGTAAGCTGTCAAATTTCCCCTAAAAATTATCAGCTAACGACAGCAAAGAACAGCAGCATACCATCTGCATATTTCCTTAAACGAAGTGCAAGACTGACATACGAAGAGCTCTCGGTGAAATAAAGAATTGTGATGACTGGTTTACAACTTACCAGAAACGACCCATATTATTTTCATAATTTCCATGGAAATTTCCCACTTACATGGGCACATTCAAAATATATTATGTACTTCATAAACCATAAGACCAGCTTAACATATTTATATTATAGTGTTAACATCCTTATGGACATACTTCATTTTGACAAGGTTAATAAGATTGTTCCACTTATCAAGAAACTAAACTACTGAAAATGAGCAGCTGTAGAAAGATTCAGAATTTTTCATCCTGAAATACTGCTCTGCAAATGAACACATACGGCCTTTTGGCAAAGAAGAAAGGGCATCTCTTCAGAAGAGTCTGCCATTATGTTTATGTTTCCAGTGTAAAGCTATATTAAAATCTAGCACGTCATCCAAATTGAATTTCAAAGGCAGTACTCACATTATGTTTCCTTCATTAAACATTTTTCAAACTCAAAAATTCCTAACAATTATGAAAGTCAACTAGGAAATTTTGTCTTCGAAATCTGTATTGTCTAGACTACTCACACTTTTGTTCCATTTCTTTCATTTCTTCAGGAGGAATTTTCAATTTGTCAATATGTTCTCTAACAACACTTGCCCATTTCTGTAAAGAATCTAAAGCAGTCCAAGGCTTTGACATATCAACAACCAGCATAACTAGAGTGTCCTTCAGAGAAATGGCATCCAGTGAAAATTTAAGGAGGCCTTTGTGATATGGGTCTCCATCCAAGATCCATACATTACATCTTGTTTGATCTGCAAAAGACAAAAAAAGGTTACCAAGGCAACAAGATAGTCATTTCATCATCCAACTCGCAATACTACCTGGTATTTTAGGGCAGCTCCACGGGAAAGGTTTCCTCTGGCGAGGTTCAACTACTTAGGTGACATCTACCAATTCAGTTAATTCCTAACAAATACTCAAGAAAATGATTTAACTGCCAACACAGAAAATGAGCATCCTCCACTTTGTATTTCTCAATCCCAACCACAGACTGAATCATGTTTCTATTCTTACCATCAGAAGATAGAGCCATGCATATTCAAGATACTATATTCAAAAATGAGAAAGCAAGTGGTCTACAGAAGATAAAAATGGCTGATCAGATGAAAAAAGCTGGGAAGCAGATGACATTTTCTTGTCAAAAAATGAGAAGACGATAAAAGGAAGGCAAAATATTCACAGAATACTCTTATTTCACTAAACAGGGGAGAAAAGGAACTGAAAAACAGATTCTTCAAGGTCAGCGAGAAAGCTGAGGTTCACACACCAATCAATACCTTAAGATGTTTAAAAATACCACCATGTGAATCCCAATCCCAAATCAATAAAAGTATGCCCTAAACTATTTACTGACTGGCATGAGATAGTATGAATCCATGGTAAAAAAAAAAATGACACTAAGAAAAGTCAAAGACTAACATTCATATGGACAGCAGCACAACCTGAAGACAGACATCAGAAAAATTAATTACAAGTAAATGACACTCACCATCCCTGTCTTCATCATGAACATTTAAGTACAAATATTCCAGTCCTCTTCCTTTCTTGTACTCCTCTATTCCCTGAATTTTTCTTATTAAGCTTGTTTTTCCAGCTCCGTCTTCACCTGTAAAAAGGACAGATCTTTAAAATTATAATGTGGACTATTTAAGGATGCTTTCTAGTGTGCTGAGTGAAAAACCCAACTGGAACTAGCTTCAACCAAAAGGGTAATTTGCCAGAAGATGACTAGGTAACTATACAGGGTGAAGATGCAGACTTCACCTCCATGATTCTCTCTCCATTATCTCCACTCCTCTTGTTCAGCCTCTATTTCTTCTATTAAGAATGATCTCCTCTGTGCCTATCTTTTAAGAAGCTCAACTCTTACGCCATCCTCATTCAATCTACAAGGAATACAAGATTCTCTGTCAGCTTTCAGTCTGAAGATGCTCAGGTGAAGACTTCTAGTCGGTCCAGGTGGCATCACGTGCACACCCAAGGGCACTCATGAAGGAAGGGTGAGAGGTGAGAATGGACCAGTGCCTGTGGGGCCTGTGACCGGCCTCACCCAGATCACGAAGCCCCAAGAAGTAAGTAGCAAAGGAGAGGGGCGAGTGACTCGGGGGTAGCGAGTTAGGCAAGAACAAGGGTAGAGAGAATGCAGGATAGACACAAACTGTAGGCTTAAAAAATGTTAATACAAGAAATCATGTGACTTAAACCTGACACAAATTTCAGAAGCTTAAACCTAGGCCAGATATTTGATGGTTTGGTGGGAGGTTTTTTAAAAAGGTTTAATATTGTGATTTTAAATACTACATGTTACTATTTCATGGACTTAATCTGTTATTGGCAATATGTCACTGGTACTTAATAAAAGTGTATTTCTTGGATCTAAGGACTTATTTCTACAGATTCATGAGTTTTGTGAGAATTTCAAAGTTATTTTCAATTTTCATGTGAGCATTTAAGAAATTATATATATCCTGGATCTTCTAACTATCTTTAGATGTCAAAGCTGTCAAGAACCTGCAGTACCCACCTGTGCACTGGTTATTTATCATCCTCCTGGTGCCAAGCTAAGGCCAGGTGATGCAGACAGAACAGAGCAGTGGCAAGCCAAACCCAGAAGTGTCCCAGGGAAGTCAAAGCTGTTTTCAACTGTCCTGGTCCTACTGGTTTTAAACCACTTCCCAACACTTCATAGCAGTAAGTGTAGCCTTTGCTATTGTTGTTCAGTCGCTTCAGTCGTGTCCAACTCATTGGGACCCCATGGACTGTAGCCCGCCAGGCTCCTCTGTCCATAGGATTTTCCAGGCAAGAATACTGGAGTGGGTTGCCATTTCCTACTCCAGGGCATCTTCCCAACACATGCACCAAACCTGTGTCTCCTGCATTGCAGGTGGACTCTTTACTGCTAAGCCACCAGGGAAGCCAGTATTTAAAAGATGCTTGGGAAAAACGGATGCTGAAGAAGCCGAAGCTGAATGGTTCTATGAAGACCTACAGGATCTTCTAGAACTAACACGCAAAACAGACGTCCTGTTCATTATAGGGGCTGGAATGCAAGAGCAGGAAGTCAAGAATCACCTGGAGTAACAGGCAAATTTGGCCTTGGAGTGCGGAATGAAGCAGGGCAAAGGAAAATAGAGTTTTGCCAAGAGAACTCATTGGTCATAGCAAACACCTTCTTCCAACAACACAAGAGAAGACTCTACACATGGACATCACCAGATTGTCAACACCAAAATCAGGTTGATTACATTCTTTGCAGCCAAAGATGGAGAAGCTCTATACAGTCAGCAAAAACAAGACCAGGAGCTGACTGTGGCTCAGATCATGAATTCCTTATTGGCAAATTCAGACTTAAACTGAATAAAGCAGGGAAAACCGCTAGACCATTCAGGTATGATCTAAATCAAATCCCTTATGACTATACAGTGGAAGTGAGAAATAGATTTAAGGGACTAGATCTGATAGAGAGCCTGATCAACTATGGATGGAGGTTCGTGACATTGTACAGGAGACAGGGATCAAGACCATCCCCAAGAAAAAGAAATGCAAAAAAGCAAAATGGCTGTCTGAGGAGGCCTTACAAATAGCTGTGAAAAGAAGAGAAATGAAAAGCAAAGGAGAAAAGGAAAGATATTCCCATTTGAATGCAGAGTTCCAAAGAACAGCCTGGAGAGATAAGAAAGCCTTCCTCAGCGATCAACGCAAAGAAATAGAGGAAGACAACAGAATGGGAAAGACTAGAGATCTCTTCAAGAAAATCAGATACCAAGGGAACATTTCATACAAAGATGAGTTCAATAAAGGACAGAAATGGTATGGACCTAACAGAAGCAGAAGATATTAAGAAGAGGTGGCAAGAATACACAGAAAAACCATACAAAAAAGATCTTCACAACCCAGATAATAACAATGGTGTGATCACTCACCTAGAGCCAGACATCATGGAATGTGAAGTTGGGTGGGCCTTAGAAAAAGCATCACTACAAACAAAGCTAGTGGATGTGATGGAATTCCAGTTGAGCTATTTCAAATCCTGAAAGATGATGCTGTGAAAGTGCTGCACTCAATATGCCAGCAAATTTGGAAAACTCAGCAGTTTTCCAAAACTGGAAAAGGTCACAGGACTGGAAAAGGTCAGTTTGCATTCCAATCCCAGAGAAAGGCAATCCCAAAGAATGCTCAAACTACCGCACAATTGCATTTATCTCACACGCTAGTAAAGTAATGCTCAAAATTCTCCAAGCCAGGCTTCAGCAATACGTGAACCATGAACTTCCAGATGTTCAAGCTGGTCTTAGAAAAGGCAGAGGAACCAGAGATCAAACTGCCAATATCCACTGCATCATCAAAAAGGCAAGAGAGCTCCAGGAAAACATCTATTTCTGCTTTATTGACTACGCCAAAGCCTTCAACTGTGTGGATCATAATAAACTGTGGAAAATTCTGAAATAGATGGGAATACCAGACCACCTGACCTGCCTCTTGAGAAACCTGTATGCAGGTCAGCAAGCAACAGTTAGAACTGGACATGGAACAACAGACTGGTTCCAAATAGGAAGAGGAGTACGTCAAGGTTGTATATTGTCACCCTGCTTATTTAACTTATATGGGGAGTACATCATGAGAAATGCTGGGCTGGAAGAAGCACAAGCTAGAATCAAGACTGCTGGGAGAAATATCAGTAACCTCAGATATGCAGATGACACCACCCTTATGGCAGAAAGTGAAGATGAACTAAAAAGCCTCTTGATGAAAGTGAAGAAGAAGAGTGAAAAAGTTGGCTTGAAGCTCAACATTCAGAAAACTAAGATCATAGCATCTGGTCCCATCACTTCATGGGAGATAGACAGGGAAACAGTGGAAGCAGTGTCAGACTTTATTTTTGGGGGCTCCAAAATCACTGCAGATGGTGACTGCAGCCATGAAATTAAAAGACGCTTACTCCTTGGAAGAAAAGATATGACCAACTTAGACAGCATTTTAAAAAGCAGAGACATTACTTTGCCAACAAAGGTCCATCTGGTCAAGGCTATGGTTTTCCAGTGGTCATGTATGGATGTGAGAGTTGGAATGTGAAGAAAGCTGAGTGCTAAAGAATTGATGCTTTTGAACTGTGGTGTTGGAGAAGACTCTTGAGAGTCCCTTGGACTGCAAGGAGATCCAACCAGTCTATCCTAAAGGAGATCAGTCCTGGGTGTTTATTGGAAGGACTGATGTTGAAGCTGAAACTCCAGTACTTTGGCCACCTGATTTGAAGAGTTGACTCACTGGAGAAAAGACCCTGATGCTGGGAAAGATTGAGGGCAGGAAGAGAAGGGGACAACAGAGGATGAGATGGCTAGATGGCATCACCGACTTGATGGGCATGAGTTTGAGTAAACTCCGGGAGTTGGTGATGGACAGGGAGGCCTGGCATGCTGAGGTTCATGGGGTTGCAAATAGTCGGACACGACTGAGCAACTGAACTGGACTGAACTGGGAAAAAAAATCTGTATTTAAGTAGATGCCTGGAAGAAAACTATTTCCAGGAGGGCAGTAAGTGTGGCCTTACCTAAGCAATAAAGAACTTGCTTTAAATATATAAAAAGAGTACTAATTTTTCAGTACTATTCTTGCAGTAAACTATTAAATGATCCACCAAGGGCATTTCCTGGTGGTCCAGTGTTCAGGACTCAGTGCTTCCCCTCCTGAAGCTGGGTTCAATCCCTGGTCAGGGAACTAAGATCCCACTAGCCACGTGGTGAGGACAAAACAACAAAATACAGAGTCCAAAATAACAAACTGGGCTGAAAACAGTAATAACTATGCTAATAACATGCATTCCATGGTGATCACACTTAAAATAGAACTCATAAATTCAACCAGTGAAAATGAAAACACAGACTTCAGTTTACTATTAAACTTACTTAATTTCAGCAAGACATCATTTGTTATACTGATTACTAATTTGAATGTTATCAGTTTTACAGTTTTTATCGCATTTACTTTAATTATAATTTTTTTTTTTTGGTTGCATCGTGCAGCAGGTGGGATTTTACCCAATCAGGGATCAAACCCACACCCTCTGCACTGAAAGTGTAAAGTCTTAACAACTGGACTGCCAGGGAAGTCTCTATATAATTTGCTTTTGTAGTTCAAGAACTATAAAACAAAATTTAAGAATTTATATCTAGTCACTTAAGTGGGCATGAGCAACAGACATGGAACAGTCTAAATCATAGTGAGATCTAGGAAAACTAGCTTTTAAAGACAGTCCTTGGCATGATCAGAGGATTTTTAAGGCAGTGAGACTATTCCGTGTGGTGGTATAATAGTAGATACAAGTCATCAGGCACTATATTTTCAAAGTACGTAAATATAGGCAGTAATTCGTCAGGTAAAACTTCACTTAATGTGACCCAGGATTTATCTTATCTCTTTAATTTCCATTTCAGATGTTAGAAAGTGAAAGGGTAGGTTTAGAAGGGTCAAGAAAACTTTAGCTTCAACTTTTTTTAAACATTACAAATATATATTTTATATATAAACATTTCTGAATAAAAAATATACTTGCAGATGATCTTAAGCATAAACAAAAAGAACAAAACCACAATAACATCAGTTAGAAAT